TAACACAGTAAAAAATAAGAAGTAATTATTAATATATATTTTTCAACAAAAACTTATCATTTATCAATTCACATACTTTTACTTACCAAATCGTATCAATGAATATTAATAATTCACAAGAATTTTTACTAATATATTTTCGTATTATATCTATATTAACAATTTCAAATGCATTTCACTCCTTTTTTTATCTAAAAAATATACATTTTTAATTTTTTACTTTTCCTTCATTTTCCAAACAGACAAAAATTTTCAAAAATTCTTATATCCATGACAGCCTTATGTCCCTTTCACAAAAATTGTTTGTAAATAAAATGTGTGGCTTTGAAAAAAAAATAAAAAATAACTCCAATCTCAAGTAGGGTGGCTCTAGCTAGGGTAGTTGAGTTGTTGCCATTACAATAAATTCATAAGTATACAAATATATATAACTTGTGATCTAATTATTTTCTAGGCTACAAGAAAAAAGGAGGTTGAGACGTGCAATAGGTTAGAAGTTAGAACAAACTTTAGAAGGGAAAATATTCCCTTTGAATGAAAGTCCTTTGTGCCAGCTGATTGATTAGTTGTAAAAACGTTTGAACCACACACATCAAGAAAGATTTTATAGTTAGAAAAATATAAACATTAATGCTTGTTTGGTATCTTTAATATTGTTTCAATGCTATGTTAATTTGTAACCTATACTCCATGAATAAATTTTCCTCATTGAATTGTTGATGTATATATAAGTATAATTTGTAAGTGGAAGAATGTCATTTAGACTATTTTTTCTAAAGCATTCTTTACTCACTTAGCATTATAATATTATAAGTATGTGTTTTTGTTTATATAGTTTGACAAGTTAACTCACTTAATGGTTAAATGGGCTCACACTGTCACACAATAATTTTTGTCGCAACCTATATATATCATGAAATTACAATTTTTTTTTTTTCAAACATTCACTGAGATCACATATATATATTTCTTTTAAAATTTCAGAATTTTGTGTTTCTTTTTTCCTCTTTTTATTTAAGCTAAGAAACTAGGGTAGTTCATGTAGAAATTGTACTTTCACGAATGACATTTAAGTTTTGGCATTTAACTCGAACGTGTGTAAAAATTTCAGATGCATGTGCTAAAGTTACAAATTGGTCCAACTTTTGGCCTGTCACGGGAAATATGAATTAAATTCCAAAGCACATGGGTTTTGATTTGGTGGATCTCTCCTCTATTCTATACGATTATACCGTATAACATTTTTTTTTTTTTTTTTTGGTTCTGTTATGCCGTATATTTTGATGTTTATAACAGTACATGTGCATTTTTTGGTAGATTACTTGAATATTTAGTTTTGAAACTCTGATTTTAATTTATAAAAGATGTTCTAGTTATAATTTATTTAATCAATAATATTTTTGAAATATTCTCCTTTCATTTATCATAAATCTCATTCTACAGAGAGAAACATTAAACATAATAACGAAACATCCATTAGTGGAATAAATAGGTATTTCAGTTTTTTTCTTTTAATTATTTAAGTTTTACAAGAGTATTTAAATTTATTACATACTTTTTTGTGCTTTCCCCATTTTTTACTACTTTCAAATCTTCATTGCTCATGGTTTCGTTCTCTTGATTTTTTTATGGTTTTATTTATTTTTATATTTCGGTGTGTATATATATTTATTCTATCTTTTGGCATTTTCTTGAATTATTTTAGTTTTTAGTTTATAATTATATTGGATATAGATAAAATACGATGATTCCACTAGCTAATTGTACTTCAATATTGCCAACAACGCATTGCTCCGTACAATTTCTTTTTTTAAATCACCATAACGAACTGGATGAAAGATTCCCATCCTTGCATATGTACTAAACCTTGCTCACCAATGATTGATTGAGGCTATTTTCCTAAGAATAATTTCGTGATTGAATCTTAATATCCCAATGTGAAACTTTGCTGGAGTTTTCTTTTTTCTTTTGTTTATTGTTAGAATAAAAATATCTAAGAATCTGAGATACAACTGTCAAGATTAACTGATTTGGTTAATTTTATAGAATGGTATTTGAAGCTAATAAATTCAGGTTTTCTTAATTAATCAGAGACAGGTTGGAAAGAACCTCAAAACTACTTTTCTCATCCAATGGGATAAATGGCACATTTGATTTAGAAAATAATATAAATAAAATTATGATATTTCATAGCAAGTATATATGCATTTTTACTGTACAAAATATGAGTCGAATCATCTAATGAATAGGCAGTCTCACACAATTATTTATGTTGTTTATATATATATGTGTATATATATATATATTTTTTTTTCTTTTTCAATAATATATGAATAAGATATTTTTGGGGATAAAAAACCAAAGGAACTGAAATAGTGTAATTGCTTGTCCATAAATTTAAACCAAATTTCTTATATCCGCTGAAATAAATAATAGTGTCGCGTTGTCACCGTATGTGTCTATACCTGTATTTGAAAGTCACGTCATAATTAAGGCTACGATTAATTTACTAGATATTTAATTTTAAATCATGCTTGGACTTTTCCTCCTTCAAACTGCACACTTTGAATTCGTCTTATATAATAAGCAGATCGATAGCGACTCCTGATTATTAAATTATAGGAATTTTATAATTCCAATCAATAATTCTTTTATTTTTTTTGAAAGATTTCAATCAATAATATTAAGTATGTATAGATGCACAATATAGAAATACTAAATGCCAAATTTGATAGGACTAAAAGAAATAATAAGATTGAATCATATGATTTTCACTTTTTTTTTTTCATTTGATCGTTAAACTTAAGTTCGTTAATCAATAAATTAATTCGCCAATCTATTTATATTAATATAAATAAAATTTTAATTCATATATTTGTCTTTTGATATAGGAAAAAATAATAATATTACTTATTTTTGTTCAGTATATAATACTCAATTATTATTTTATTCATAAAAATTATTGTCATATAATGTTGTTATTATTATTATTATTTATAAAAATTGTAGAAATGGTATTTCTTATGTAATGATAATTATTTAATGTGCATTAATATTATTTACTAATGTAACTAATTTAAAATTATGTCAACAAATTTAAATAAAAATATTGTATAAAATGTTTATACAATATATAGAGGGGATATATAGAGTTTTCCACGTAGACTCAGCGCATTCTAAAATTATATATAGAGGGGATATTTATTTATATATATATATATAAATTGCATATGAAGTTCGGTTCAATTGCAAAATATTATTCTGGGTTGGAATACGGTGATCAGTTTCCAAACATTCTTAATAGTTTGTCACATGATACAGTAAAGTACATTTGGCATATATGCCTATTGAATTTTATATTAAGCTGTTGACGAATACAGGGACTCAATTAAGTGGCAATTTCTCGTGTTCATATTTGCTATATATTTTTGTAATCATAGAGAATGTAATGGTCTTCCAATGGTAACATGAGGGAATAAATTCGTAGCATTCAGTCAAATGAGAATTTAATTATATTATAATAGTCGTTATATGTGGACTATAGGAGAATTTTATTATATTATAATAAGCGTTATATGTGGACTATAGGTTATAAACTTGTGGTAAATATAAACTTTACATTATCTTTATAATCACTTATATAGGTCTAGATTAATGCCGTAAGTTGAGTTATACTCTTATTCAATTAACAATTTAAGATATAATACAAAATTTTACTGAATCAAGTTTAAGATTCAGAACTTATTGATGGTGTCGGCGAACAATTTCCAAGTGATTTTTCTAGTGAAAACTCTGAAATTTCATTCTTCTAGCTTATTTATTTGAAATAGTAGTTTTATATCATAAAAAAAATTCGAGGAAAATGATAAATAGTCCAAAAGTTTTCAAAAATTCATTCGAAACCTTGTTTGTTTAAATGGGTAAAATGAGATAACTTTTTTATACCTGCAATAACCAGCGTTTGCTAATTAGGATTAAGGCCCTCAGATAGCATTAGGTTGGGGAATGTATCCTATCTTATCCTTCACTCACTTGATGATTTCCTCAGGCGGAAGGTGGGGTGATTTTAAGGTGTGATTGGATACCAATATTCATAACCAAAAAAATTTAATCACAATTCAAATTTAACTGAACTTTAACCAAATCTCATATATTTAATATTATCAATATAATTAAATAATATCAATTAATTATTCTTATACATCACATCAACTTTAATTTACTATTCATTCACTCACTCACATAATTTTAACTACCTATCACTTTCAGTCACTTTTATCTTACTTTTACATCAAATAAATTTTAGTAATTTTATTTTAAATTAACCTAGCTAACAAACAAAAACCAATCAAGACTCAATGAAATCTATATCCAATCACCCTCAGCTTGTTTATCAAATTATATTAGTATTTTTGAGTCAAGTAGTACATGTTCAAACTCGTCTTCATTTAATGAACAAGTAGTTAATAAACAAATAAATGATTTAACTAAAACTCATCTTGTTTTAAGTTGGTAAATAAAAAAACTTAAACCCGTAAAAGAGTTGCATGCGAGCAAGTTCGTCTATTGCATAATTTACATTCGAAGCCCAGATAATTAAATATAAAAAATAAGTTATTCGCGAACAAGTTCGATTCAATTCATTTAGCTGTCTGAGCTCAAACGTCCACAAGTCGAATCGAATCGAGTTGTGTTGGCTAACATTAACAATTCTAACTACACTTATCCTCTATATTCTAAAGTAGACTTAATATCATTAATAATCCTAATTCAAAATTAAATAATCAATTAATCCTCATAAACACCAAACAATTAATGTGTACCTTCCAAGTACGCTTATCTGTACCTCTCCACAACCTCTCTCCTCCTATATTTATACCTACATAACCCCCCACTCACTCCCTCACACTCTTCCTTCCCATTTTCTCTCTCTAAAAAATCCCAAACCACTTTCTCTCTCATCCAACTCCCAAATTTCCTTAAAAAAAATCAAAAATAAAATGAAGAAACTCATGAGGAGGATATCCAAGGTGGCTGACTCTTCCCAGTACTGCCTCCTCCGGTCGAACTCTGCGGCGGCGGCGACCCGGCCGGCCAGGGGAGAGTCATTCCGGAAGCGGTCCGGCGGGGTCCCGGGCGGGCACCTGCCGGTCTACGTCGGCGAGGAGATGGAGCGGTTCGTGGTGAGTGCGGAGCTTCTGAACCACCCGATCTTCGTGAGGCTGCTGAACCGGTCGGCCCAGGAGTACGGGTACGAGCAAAAGGGCGTGCTCCGGATCCCCTGCCACGTGTTCCTCTTCGAGCGCGTGCTGGAGACGCTCCGGATCGGCGGAGAGGCGCGTGAGCTCCAGGAGCTCCTCAACTCCCTGTCCGACGAGTTTTGATTTAGGCCGCTAAAAATTGACGTAATTAGTAGATCAGGTTTTCGTTTTTTTAACCTTTTTATGGTTTTTTTTTTTTTCTTTTTGTTTTTACCTTCCCCTGTTTTTGTCCTCCGTTGTAAATACTTTGTGATGAAACGCAGTGTGGGAGCGGATTTTTCGTTTAATTTTGTTGTTACTCGCGGTAATTTTCAATTTATCACCCTAGTTTGAAACTATAGTTGTGTTTTTAGTAAAATCGTTGAAAATGATGTCAGATCTGAGACTGATTTATCATAGTTATTAATATCTGAGTCTGATTTATTATAATTATTAATGAGGAAATATGTAACACTTCAGACAGTAAAATTTCACCAACATAATAATTAAAATATGAATAGCAAATTTATTCTACTTTTGGTTTTCACTTCTTAGATCTGTCCTGCCTACGTCGAGTGTAAAAACCAAAGAGGGTTTATAAAAAAATAATTATTAAAATAATCGTTGGTGCAATAAAAAATGAAATAAATAGGGAGGCTATATTTGACTTTTCTGGCGTAGGATTTCACCAGCCAAACCCTCACTTGTAGTGCTGAAAGGGTTAATGGGATTAAGCCTAAATAAAGTGCATCTACGAGCATATGAGATTATGCCTCATTATGGCCTATATAAGTTGGTAAAATTTCGGAAAATTCGTTCCTACCGATTGTTGATTGCCTCCACCAGAAATTTTTATCGAAAGATCAACTCACCTAAATATATATGCAATTATGTGTGATTGATGAGAGCAGTGCTCTTAACAGGGTTTTGAATTATTTGTCTATTTTTTTTTTTTCCTTCTGAAATTGGTTATGTATAAATTATTATGTGACAGAAATGAAATAAATGGATTAGCTTTTACTTGTGAAGCTGAAAGGTAATGAGGAATGCGTGGAAAGGAAGTTGGTTAGATTAGCAATAAATTATTGCACCGTACGTTTCGTACCAAGAACAATTGAAGATTACAATAATCTTATCCAAAAATGTTTCCCATCAGAATTTTGTTAAAAAAAATCACTTCCATTTTTTCCCTCATCAATCACTCTGGAACTAATGGTTGGCTCTAACTACTAATGTTATAGTGCCACGTAAGCCATGTGGAGTTTTTTATTTTTTCACATGTTATGAAGCCAACCACTAATGTTATAGTGGCACGTACGCCATGTGGAGTTAATTATTTTTTCACATAACCTACGTGGCACTATAACATTGGTGGTTAGCTCCATAAATAAGCCAACCATTGGCTCCATAGTATTTCTCCATCAATCACTTCAATTTATGTTTACAATAAAAATTCAATAACTCTTTATTAATACACACGTACATGAGATGAGCTAAAAAAAACCCCTTTCTCTCTCCTGAATGGACTGAAATTACAGTAAAATTTTAAATCATAAGACTCAAAGACAAAAAGTTAGAATCTTGAGATTAAAATTGTCATGACGTTAAAGCAGCATGACTAAAAATTATTTTTAACAAGAAATCTCTAATTCCCATCGTCGTGCCTCCCTACTCCCGTTAGCAACTGCAGCCCCCAGTTCGCTGCCCTCTGGTCCGGTTTCGAGTGCTCGGGTTTGGGTTCTTCTGGCACTGTTTGAGACAATCTATTTGGGCCTTTTCCTCCTCCGATTGACGATTGCTGGAGACCAGATTTGGACTCCGGTTCCTTCTAGCCGTTGTTTTCAGTTGGGAGTTTTTAGTTCTAGTTCATCATTTACTAATGCCAACCACGATATATATATATATATAGGATGAGGTTCAAATGAGAACTCACCCCTAGTGTGAACTTGGAACCCATCTTGTCCTTTGATTACATAAGTATAAACGGTCATTAATTAGGGAAATGATTTGGATCTTTTCTCGGATTGGTAAGAATTACTCAGATTCCTTTTTTACCACAATCATCCACTTTAGTTGTTTTACTGTATTTTTTACTTCATTCAGAGAAAAAAGGATCATTTTGTAGAAGTTTTATCATCAAATCCTGATAATTAATTGGTATTCTACCTAAAAATGATGTTTCTGATGCTAAAAAGACATGAATGTGTGTTGAACTAAAATATTTATATCACCCACAAACTAAAGAAATTGAAGGCATAGACAAAATCAAATTGTAAATTAGCAATATATAGAATATATCTTAGCAACAAAAGCACAGAAAAATTCTTTTGGTATAAAAATATAGTCTTTACACCACATGAGTGATAATTCACAATTTATTTTATCTGGTATCTACGTCACCTTATTTCTGGTAGCACTAATATATTATAAATCCATTTGCAAATAATAAGCATGTTGTAAAGTATTTCTTAAAATTCAAACAAGAATAAAGAAGAACATATGTTATTGTTGATGTAGTCTATCAACAAAATAGCATCATACTTTGTACAACATGGCACACATATGCTGCTAAAAATTGATGTTGTTCCTCCTCATTATCAGAATAGTCACCATCCGACTCATCTCCACTCCCATCAATATTACTTTCATATGTTGCACGACCACCCACATTTTCAACGTCTGGGTCATTTGCTACATATGGTTCTCCATGACGCTCGTAGTTCGCCATTGAATCACCTTGCAAACAAGTAGGAACAACATGTGTTCAAGAACAATAATAAAGTTTATTGCTTCATGTAGGTAAAAAACTAGCACACCTCAACACAAAAGATATCAAATACTACTTTATTTATAGTTTATAGTAGAGGTGAAACTAATACATGAAGCCAACATTATTTTGAATAAATAAACATAAAGTATTATAAAATGGAACACATGTATTACATATCAATATCACAAAAATAACATAGAACGTTCATGTATTAATAATAGCCCGGATTTATTAAATAAAAAGCAACACTAGCAACAAGTTGACATAACATTAGCCCGGATTTAAGCACAAATTTCATTTAAAATAATAACTTGCGACAAGTTGATATAACATTAGCACAATACAATGCATAAAATAGCACATTCTATAGAATAAGACTACTAGCATTTCTATACATCATGGCAGCCAAAAAAAAATTCTCTGAAACTCTTTTGGAATGTAAAAGTGAAAAGCAAATGTGACTCTATTTAGATACACTCCCAAAATTTAAACCATCCAACTAATATAATTCGTCAGTAGGTTGCTAATTTATATTTCTTCTCCAAATCATTGTAACTATATGCGATTTTCATATTCCAGTTTCACATTGGCACATGGGAGTAATGTTTCATTTCTCTTTCAAACTACTTATTTTAGAGTATTATAATCTTCAAAATAGCCCATATTTAATAAAAAAAAGCAACATTTAGAAAAAAAAAATGACACATCTCAATGTATGTCTTGTATATTTTCATTTTGGGCTAATTTACCTTTTTCTAAAGCATAAAGTTTATTTGAATAACAACTTGCAACAAATTGAAAAAACATTAGCACAAATAAATCAACTATGTTAGCACCACTCTCAATGAACATACTAAAATCATATCTTCTCACAACAATTGCAGCTTAAAGGAAGCAATGTATTATTCTAAAATGAAATTTTATTTCTTGAATTTCACAGTAAAGATGCATCAGGATTTTTTTAGCCATATTGTTTTGCTATTGATAAGAGTTTCCTTCTATGTGAGTATTCAGTTTCCAAAAATCTGGACCATAATAAATGGATTCTCCTAAGTCTAACCCTCCATCTATTAATTAATTGGTCATTGTAATTTCGTTGCTACTATAAAAACGTCTAATCCATTCCGTCAAATTACTACAATCAAAGGTTGATATCAGTTCCTAGTTCTCACACAAGGAGGGGTTCTTATTAGAACCCTTCTCTATATATATATAAAATTCTCCCTTGGATATTAATAATTGTCTTATTAAAAACTAGTAAATAGAGCATAAAAGTTATTTTCATTCATCGGTGTTTTCCCTATATACAAGGTTCACAGTGTACATAATAAAAGGACCTAATTTAAACTAATGGATCTTTGGTTCAGTCCATCATTTAGTAATGTCTACCAAAAATATTAACAACATTCTTTATTGGACATTGCTACATGCCTTATTAAAAACATTGCTAATAAAAATTAGACAAGAAAAAATTAGTCAAGGGAAAACTGCATGATTTATATAAGCTAATGTGTTATATTAGTTTTCTCTTTAAAAACCTTTAGCTAATAAGTCCAACGGAAAAAACTTAGTTAATAAAAAAAGAATACACTACTTGGTTTTCAGGACACAATCACCGGGATTATTTCGAGTGTTCCCCTCCCCCTGCAGACAATAGTCTTCCTAATTTATGCATACCAATACCATAAATGTGTTTTACAAAGTAGATGTCGAAAGAGAATGGGTGCATAGGTCTGTCAAAATCTCGCTAGACCGTACTATTTTGCAATGATTTCATCGTTGCTCTGCATCTCGTGTGGGTAAAAGAATTTTTGAGCGATGATTTTCTCGTGCTTCCTTCAATATACCCACTACTCATTTGTGAAACACAATTTGCATTGCCCTCGTAAAATATAATGGGGATTTGTTGTAATTCCACATGACCCACGAATATGTTGTATTAAATATTAACCTTGTAAGTTCTTATACAAAATATTTATCTCTGAGTGGTTTAAAGAAGTAGTAACCATTGACTGCTTGCCCAATTTTCAAGAGATTGCAGTACCACCAAATAGGAAAATATAACAAGTCTTTGATCTGGCATTATGGAGATCAGACGTATAACTAACATCTGAATAACCTACCAATGTCATATTATTTTCTTATAAAGTAAACCAAGACCTTTTGAACCTTGAAAATACCAAAAAATATATTTAATATCATTTTCGCGTCCCCCTATGGGAAAAGCACTAAAATATTGCTAACAAGTTTACTACAAATGCAATATGAGACTTGGTGCAATTTGCAAGATAAAGTAATGCGCCAATGGCACTCAAGTAAGGAACTCCGGATCCTAACTTTTCTTTGGTATATTCTTTAGGTCTAAATGTATTCT